ATATCGATAAATTAACCCACTGTGACGCCACTGCAAATAGTATTCTGAATTTAATCACATCAAAAGAAGCTCCACGTTATATTCAACGACATATTCAAAGACATATGAGTAATGATTAAAAACACGATTTTTCATGGAAATATCAATACCCTGTACCTCAAAAACGAAGCAAGGACACATGTTTGTATAAAGTTTATTTTCTAAAATATCACAAGGAAATACAAAGAACATTGTGTTTCATTATAAAAATATTTGTGGTTTGTCACGCTCTTGGGGATCACTTCCGCATATTGTTTTTTTTTCTCGATAAAAAATAACGGAACGTCAATGTATAACCCTGTATGTACATATAGCCATTCTTTCTCTCATATTTCAAATTAATATCTGTGAGGAAATAAGAAGTGGTGGAGAACTGATTTGTTCTTATTTGATGGAATTTGAATTGACTAATTTTCCATTTTATGATTTTGAAAAAATTAATCATCATTTCACCGAGGTGAAATGTATTATTTCTTTCGAAGATTACATTATACGAGGTACGCTCCTCGCTTGTACTCACCGCAAATGTATGCAACACACATAACCTTTAGAACCATTTGATCGATCATCATAATAGAAGGACGCAAAATCGATTTGACTTGAGTTTGCTGGTTTTTGAGTGAATTGTTTTTTTATCAAATTGGTGAAAAAACAATAATTTGTCTTTTTCATGACTCAAACTGTTTCATATGAGACCAAACTATTCAAGCAAACCGATTTTAAATAAAATCCCTTATATCCACACAACGTCCTAGGGACGTCTCTATTTGGTACAATTAAAAAATAAGTGTCCTTGAAATGTCCCATCCCGTACATCTCATGCAATGTCCGAGCAAGGACGTCCACGGAATGCTCCAGCAAGTACATAATTTAAAATGTTCTAGAAATAGCATCCGTTAGACGTCCCACATATTGTAGAATGTCCATGCATGGACGTCCTTGGCATGATTTTAAACGTTCCTTCAGGGACATCCATCGGATGTCCCGAGTAGTACATATTCTGGCATGACTTCACATCTTATATATTGTCCCGTCTAGACAACCATGAAATGTCCCTGATGGTACATTCCTTCAAATATCTCTGCACAGACGCCCTTAATATTTCCAGGATCGTATAACAATCGAAATATCCCTAAAAGGGACATCCTTCGAATGTTACTCAGGGATATCTGTCGGATGTCCCAATTGGTACATGAACTGTACTCTCCCAATGTCCTAGAAATAACGTCCTACGGACGTCCCAGTCGATACTCTCAATATTTTGACCCTGCGAGGTAACTTACACCTCGCCGGCGGATAATTGCTCGTAGGCTATAAATACTCCCCTCCCCGTCAATGTCGTTCACGTAAGTCCTTTGGACATCCTAGTTGGTCCTCAAGTGGGACATTTGTGCGTCCAATGGACGCCCACGGTACCAAATTCGAACGTCCTATGGTTGTCCTGAATATCCCGACAGGATGTCCAAAGGATATCCATGGGACATAATTGTGTTATTAGGGATAAATCCTTCTAAAGGACGCGAGATCATATCAATCGGTTTGTTTTTATACTTTTGCCAAATAAATAAGTTTTCTTAGAGAAGAAATATCGAAAAAAATTGAGGGACTCGTGGCATTACCATGGACTATTTCACTCATCACCTAATCTGATTGGTCTGACAGCGTTCATGTTTTCAACAATGTAACCATGGATAGCTAATCAAAGTCTGGATGTAACCATGGATAGCGAAGCAAAGTCTGTCAATGAAGCAACAGAATTATCTCAAATATCAGAACATCGTAGTATTACATATCAAAATGTGACGTTTCTGTTGTTTCAACCAATATCAATGCGTAATTCTAGCCAATAATTCGGATCTTTGTTTGAATTAATCCATGAAGAAGCCTTTCGACTTCCCAGCGAGCACAAAAACATCTCAGAGATGTTGAAAGTACGAGATTTCGAGACATTGAACCTCCCCTGCGATGTTCTGTTCGCACATGAATAGAACTATTATAGAACAGCCAATGTCCGCCGCAGGCGGCAGTTATCGAGATGTCCTTGATATGTCACAAAACTACCTTCTCCCTAGTTCTTTTTAAAGCCTTTTCATGGACACAACAGAACATTTTCAACGCGTCTTGCGCACATTAAATCGCTGTAAAAAAACCATTTTCGAGGTACTTTTCTGAAGCCTTTTGTCAAAATGAACTTTTGCATTAGGATTCCATTTCCCTTGAATGAAAAAATGCATTAAAAATAGATTGATTATAAAAATATTTCCTCGATATGAAATTACCTTCTTAATCGGTTTCTGAGTAGTGCTTACTACACACAGACATATAATTGGAAATAGGTTTCCCAATTTTTGAAATGTTCTCCACAATGCATAATTTTGCAACTGCGGAGAAGCTGTGTATTGATGAATTCGTACTTTTATATATTGATTACACTGAGGCACCGAACAACACATCTTGCATCTGATGGTCATTATCACAAACTAAAAAGTCTTCTAACACAATAAACTTCACCAAATTCCTTTCTGTTCGTTAGTAGCGTGATGTAAGGTTGACACGCTGCAAACGCGAATGCCAATTGCGAACAAGAAGAACAACATCGAAAATCAGAATCATCGTATTGTGACGTAAGCATGAGACGTTGTGGTGGGGCAAACAAAGAAAGGGCACAAAAGAACAAAAACAATACTTTCAATATCCTTCTAAGACTTCTTTGGGAAGTGCATATTACGCCTCAAAAAAATATCCTCATGCCTACATTTCTAAAACAACCCAAAACATCCCCGGGATACCCTTCAGTAGGCAAACAAAGAAATGCCACAGAAGAACAAAAACTATACTTCAATATCCTTCAAAGACTGCTTTGGTCAGTGCGTATTACGTCTCAAAATAACATCTTCATGCCAACATTTTCAAAACATCCCAAAACATCCCAGGGATGTTTGTGCTCGCTGGGTTCGTTGTTGGCAGGCTGTTTTGTTCGACAAACAAGTTTGTTCGAACAAAAATAACGCAAAAATGAAGTGTGTGGATGTAAAATGTTCGTTTTCTCTGGGCATCTTGCGAAATTCCTATTGTTGAAAGAATAATCACGCCGAATTACATTCGTGGTGGTGATTTTAAAAAATTAATTTCAACTATAGATGAGCACTCGTCTTTGTTGCTATTGAAAAATCCCACTTAGACTTCATCCACTCGTGATATTTCTAACGCAATAGAGATTCGTGCATCTACAGTGTGTCCCACTTACCATGCTCACCATGGGTATCTTTTTAACGGTGAGAGATACGAGGTCGGTTGAATGATACCAAATGTGGAGTTTTTCAAGGCCAACTATAATGTGGAAAAATATTTTGATAAAATCTATTCGTTTTTGTTTTATACGCAAAAAACAGATTTTGATCATTTTTATGTCTCCTTCGGAATTTCTTTATTTATGAAAATATTCAAATAGGAATTTCACATTCTCATGGCAGTTTTTCAAAGTGATTTCGAAAAAAATATGAAATTCATACCAACTCTTCTAGAATTTGAGATATCAGCACCAACTTTAGTTTTTCAAATGTAGGTCATAGCTCACTATGACTTAGTTACAAATAAGTTTTTTTTCTCTCACAGATGATATGTCGCAGTAATAGTTTTGTGTTGATAACAACGGAGTTATCGTCATTTATACAAAAACAAAAAATTATTCGGAAGCGGCCATCTCGAATTTATGAATTTCAATAAAAAAATCATGATCTCCGACCTCTAAAACCCCCACTTACCAATTTTGAATAGAATCGGACCAAATCTTGTCCGCCATTTTGGAGTAGCCATTTTTTTTTTAATTTCAACAAAAATTGGTAAGTGGGGGTTTTTGAGGTCGGAGATGGCGGCTTCCAAATAATTTTTTGTTTTTGTATAAATGACGATAACTCCGTTGTTATCAACAAAAAACTATTGCTGCGACATATCATCTGTAAGAAAAAAAAAGTTATTTGTAACTAAGTCATAGTGAACTATGACCTACATTTGAAAAACTGAAGGTGGTGCTGATATCTCAAATTCTAGAAGGGTTGGTACAAATTTCATATTTTTTTCGAAATCAATTTGAAAAACTGCCATGAGAATGTGAAATTCCTATTCAAATATTTTCATAAATAGAGAAGTTACGGAGGAGACATGAAAATGATCAAAATCTGTTTTTTGCGTATAAAACAAAAACGAATAGATTTTATCAACATATTTTTTCAGATTATAGTTGGCCTTGACAAACTCCACATTTGGTGTCATTTAACTGACCTCGTATCTCTCACTGTTAAAAAGATACCCATGGTGAGCATGGTAAGTGGGACACACTGTATATAGTTGAAATGATCAAAAAATGACCACCACTAAACATAGTGTGTACGAGGAAAACAACCACTTGCGGATTCAAATGAATCACGTTATTCATATACATTTTTAGCTGAAATTTTGTTCTTGTACGTTAGGTACTCGGGTAGGTAGGAAACTATCTACCTACTTTTTCCACTGTATTTATTTACTACTCCTGACCTGCTTATAAGTACGTTTTAGAATCTATATGGCGGACGAAATTCCAGTTTGATAATAATTAACAATCAAACGGTACTTACTTGAATTGCTTTCAATATAGGAACAGCGTGTGTATATTTCAATGAATAGATCAGTTGACCACATACAGATAATAACTGAGTGTGATGAAAGGTCTGATGAAAAACTAATTATCTAAATATTTTAAGTTCGATTAGTAAATACCTCATTAAAGTGTGAAGGTAACTATTGATATATTCAAAAGCTCAATCAAATAGTACAAATAGTGAGTAGGTACCATATTGTTCCTTGAAAAATTACGATAAGTAAATAACCACATAACTTCAACATCAAATTACTTTCCTCCCTCTCTCCCTCCCCCTCTCTAGTTATTATGATGTGGATACCGATTACTTATTATTTTGCAGGCACAAAATGGCTTCCGAAGCAAACATCCAAAGACTGAACAAGGATCTTTATCACTTTGAAATCGTCGACTATGTCGTCTTTTCTTCCATGCTGCTGCTCTCAGCTTTAACAGGTCTCTACTATGGCTGCAGGAGCAAATATTGCAAGAGCGAGTCAGGCCAAACGCTCAGTGAATATTTGACAGGAAACAGGAATTTAAAACCGTTTCCTGTGGCTCTTTCTCTTATCGCCAGGTAAATTATGTATTTTTTTCTGTGATGGAAAAAAGTTGGGCAGTTCCTCTCTATTGGCAGGTTATAAAATGTCTCTTTTCATAAATTACTCTTTTCATAAATTACTTTTCATAAATTACTTTTTTCACGGTTTTTTGTCTCCCTCCGCTACGCGTCGGGAAACAACACAACCTGGAGCTAAAATCTACTACATTTTTCCCTTGTATAATAAATAACTATTGATTATCTATCATTCTCGACTATTTTTGTTTGCAACTGGTGCGCCAAATATTTTGGTAATCTTAGTTTTTTTACGGAAAAAAATCGATTATAATACCTTCTAACTTCTCCGATGAATTCAAAGTTAGACACGGAAGGTACTTGGAAAGTGTTATTACTTCTCAATTCCATTTTGTTGTGTTATGAATAAGAGTTTCTCCTTCTGAGGTTTTATTGTGAAGAAAACTGTACATATATGTACTTCCATACACATTGACAATAATTCATGGCATGATAGCTAGTATTGATATGCAATGTCTTTGAAGTTATTTATTAGATGTTTTGAATGTTCAATGACTTAATCCATATTTATTCCTTGATTTTTTTAGTTATGTATCGGGAGTCACAATTTTGGGTACACCTTCCGACATTTATCTCTTTGGAACTCAGTATTGGTTGATAGTGATTTCAATATGGTTAAGTGGATTAGTAGTTTCTACAGTATATCTTCCAGTATTTTTGAAATTGCAAGTCCATTCTTCATATGAGGTGAGTTCTGAGAAAAGGAAAAACTATTGCTGTATTTACGGCTATCGATCTACTTTCCTGAAAAAGAAATATTATATTCATACATTTCTGTTTTTCTTTCCAGTACCTGGAACTAAGGTTCAGTAGTGTAGTACGAACTATAGCATCCGTATTTTTCGTTCTAGACGAGGTGAGAATTCTTATTCATAACGTTGGTATAACATACCGTTTCCGTTGAACATGTAGTTAATGTTCTTATTATTTTTCTCATTATTTTCGTAATCCCATACTGCTATTTTGTTTCAACAGTATTCAGATGACAATTGAAAAGTTAATGTTAACAGCCTTCGTCCGTTGAGATTATTTAACGACCGGCGGCCGTTATAATACTATTGTGATGCCGTTAAGCTGGTCCACGACGACACGATGTTGGAATTTTTCTGTAGAATTATGAAATACGTGGTTTGTCCTTCTCTCGGAATCAAAATGTGATCTTTCAGCGGAATTACGAAAACTCTTGAACGACACACGGCCGATACGCAAATAACGGATTCGGTTGTCATAATCTTCGGCTGCGCCTCGGATTACAACATTCAACCTCGTCCGTTATTTGCTACATATCGGCCTTGTATCATTTGGTGTATCATGAGCATTTAGTGTAAGTGAATGGCATTCAGTTGTAAGTGAAAAAATTGTCTTGCGTAACGAAGCTTCCTGACAAATTATCATTTATGACGAAAAATTGGAGCACCCCAATGTAGTTTACGGTGGGGTTCATTATGAATTGAAAAAATTGGCGTATTCGAAGATGAACCCATGAGTATATCGAATTTGAATGCAAAAAATGCAACTGTCCATAGGTATTGCGAACAAATGATGCTTTATTTTAGAACTTCATCTATCTTGAGAACTGGGCACTAGAATACCTTATATCCCTACCTTGATCTAATCACGAGGGCTATCTCCTGCTGTGAAGCGTTGTCAGTCGAATTTGTACCTATACAGTGCCCGCCTAAACTCCGTTCCCCCCTACTAATTTTTGAAACACCTGGTATATCGCAACTAAATTTGGAGGACTTAAATAGGAGATAAAAACCAACTTTTTCATGAAAAAATCAAAGCTAAAGTCATCTTCAATATTTTTTTAAAGAGAACATTCCGTATATTATTCCATTTTCGAAATTTCCTCATAATTCTCAACAGTTTCCTCAAATACACTTCAGTCCTAAATTCAATTGTTTTCGAAATATTAACGTTTGAAAGGTGACATTCCGGTTTGAAATGAAGTATGGATTTTGGTCACTTCCTGTGAAACATTTTGCTAACTACACGTTGTTATTAATTTGTAGTTGAATCTCTCGATTATTTAGACTAAAAGAGACGTAAAGAGAGTTTATTGAGGATCAACAGCACAGCTTACCGGAAAATCTTAAAGCCCACGAATGTGTTCTGTAAATTCACAATCAAAACAAATTAGTTGGCTAAAAAATTATACATATTTTATTTTTGAATAACTCTTTCATTTAACCCCAACAATTATTTTATCAAATGTTCAAAGTGGCCCCCTCCAAAATCTCGACAATAAAGTGCCCTATTATGAATAACTTCTCTCACGTTGATAAAAGTCTGTTCATCTATTTCTTCACATGTATCTATCAGTATGCGTTCCAACTTTTCTATTGTTTAGCATTCATTGGCGTAGGTTTTTGACTCCAGATATCCCCAAAGAAAAAAATCGAGAGGTGTAAGATCCGGAGATCTTGGTGGCCACTCTGTACTTCCACTGCGACCTATCCATCGCCCAGGGAAGTTAGTATCGAAGAAGTCTCTAGCCCTGCGATCGAAATGGGGAGGTGCTTCATCCTGCTGAAATATGATTTCACGATTTTAAAACTCTTCCTGATTGTTAAATACAATTTGCCTTATTCGAGGTTCAATTTCAGTTCCTAAAAGGGTTTTTTGAAGAACTCCTGTAAGATTGCCTCTGATGAAAATCGGCCCAACAACGCGATTGCCTAAAATTCACCTTTCCAGGAAACTGAGTATGTCCCTCTCTGAAAATATGCGGATTAGTATCGCTCCAGTTCGATAACATTCTGTTTGTTGACTTTTCCATTAAGAAAAAACGTGCATTCGTCTAATGAACATACACGTTTTAGGAAGCCCCGTTCTCCTTCAATTGTTCTTGTTAACAACTTACAAAATTCAACCCTCCGGTCTGGATCATCCTCCGTGAGAACATGCAGTATTTTCATTTTATACGGATGGAACTTCTCTTCTTTTAGGACTCTTTGGACACTTTTTGAACTTACTCCACATGATTCAGCAACTGCAGACTGAGTCGGATTGATTACCATTTCAGCAACAATTTCAACCTCTTTTTCTCATGAAAGAGGCGGTCGTCCTGATCTTGGAGAAAGCTTATATTTAAAAATACGACCTCGAAATGATTCTCGGAAAATCTACCATTAAACATATGGACTGCTAGATGATAATTTATCGTCTAAACTACGAGCCATGATCACACGTTTCATAAAATGATTGAGGCGGTCAACGGACTATTTGACAGTTTCAGTTAATTTGACAGTAAACAAGACGTTACCGCGACGATTTTCTCCAATGCAAACTTGATTGAAAGTAACATTCATTTGTGTTTTTGGTTGGGTTTGGAAAGAACAAAATTTCACCATCCAAACGTTATATTATTTCGAAAACAATTGAATTTAGGAGTAAAGTGTACTAGAGAACACTATTGAAAATTATGAGAAAATGTCGAAAATGGAATAATATACGGGGTATTCCATCTAAAAAATATTGAAGATGGCGCTCAGCCGCCATTTTAAAACTTTTGACTCAAATTTTTTCATGTAAAAGTAGGTTCTCATGTCCCATTGAAGCCCCCCAAAATTTCTTCGCGATATACTAGGTGGTTCTAAAATTAGTATGGGGGAAACGGACTTTAGACGGACACTGTATGTCGGCGCCGTTGGATTTATCATCATTGGAAAAAACTGTATCTCTTGCTATTTTCACTATATGTTCAGTTAACGTAAACCTCGACGTAAACTGTTTATGTGATGGTCCCCAGGTAGAACATCATATTGGCTAGAACTTGGTTTCATATTAGCCCAATATTCGAATATTGAATATGGAATTACTAGATTGCACCAATATCAAACCAATTTTTCATTTCAATATTCGATCATCAATCCATTGCCAATATTTTAATAACATTGAAATTTTGTGACCAGCCGATATCAATTTGTCAATATTTATTTGATATTGGATGAATATTAACGATCACAATATGTCAATTTTCATGATGGGCTGATATTGCATTTCCAATATCAAATCGATCTTGGAAAAAAATATTGACTCAATATCCAATTTATGATGGTTAGTGAATATTGCATTTCATTGTCCAGCAATGTTGTAATAACATTGAAATTTTGTTTCCAGCCGATATTTATTTACCAATATCTATTCGATATTGGTGAAATATTGACGATCACAATGTCAATTTCCATGATTGGGCTAATATTGTATTTCCAATATTGAATCAATCATGGAAAAAATTATTGCATCAATATCAGATTTATGATGGTTGGTGAATATTGCTCTTCGTTGTCCAGCAATATTGCACTGATATTGGTGATTCAATATCATTTCGATATTCAATAATCAATCCAGTGCCGATGTTGTATAATAACATTGAAATTTTGTGACCAGCCGATATCAGTTTGCCAATATTCATTTGATATTGGCGAAATATTAACGAATACAATATGTCAATTTTCATGATGGGCTGATATTGTATTCCCAATATCGAATCAATCTTGGAAAACATATTGTATCGATATTTTGTATTTTTATTCAGCCAATATTAGTTCATCAATATGCGACCCATTTCAGATAGATATAACTAATGAAATATGCCAGAACCAATATTGCACTGACATTGGATTTCTAATATCGAATCGATATTCGTGATATTTCTCTTAGTATTTGAGCTACGTTATGACAGCTGGCGCCACTAGCACGCCTCCAATAAACGACTGCTGAGAGACATCAAATACCGCATTCGTTCAACTTGCAAACTAAGTATTCTGGGATACAGGAAACGAAAATGATTTTGATATTGTACAAATATCGCAATTTTTTAATGAGGCTAATATGGCTTCGAATTTTGATTTCGAGTTTTGTTGAAAAACGAAATTCAATATTGGTTGAATATTATAATTCAACATGAAGATAATATTGCAAAATAATCACATCCTCATTTTAGCCAATATAGTAGGGGAATATGAATTCAATATCGATTTCACATATGAAAATTATAAGAAACCAGTTTTCTATAAGTTGGCATCATATATTTGTCCAATCTTGTATACGAATATTAACTCGATATTGGATAGAGCATATCGAAACAAGATTGAAATTCAACATAGCACCAAGATTCCAGAATGTTCACATTGATTTATTGAGCCAATAATCAAAATTAATATTTTCCCAACATTCACCATTTATTGACTCAATATTGAACCAATATTAGTGTTCTACCTGGGTCGTGTTGGAGCAGGGCCTACTGTATTAGAGTAGGCCCTGGTTGGAGCAGGGCAGGGCCTACCTGAGGTGATGCGACTTTTCATGTTTTCGTATATCACTACTTTGAAGATGGAAACCAATTATCCAAAAATAATGCAATGGAGAAACTATCAATTTTTGTAAGGGATATGACATAGAAGTGAGTGATAATTTTTGACGGTAACTTGACCGAGAAGATACATATAATAATGAAGATGATGGAAAGCCCTAATTTCGAGTGACAACGGAAATGAAAAAACTCCACCGCCCCGCGTGGGAGTCGAACTCACAACCTCTGGGTTACATGCCCAACGCTCTGCCAATTGAGCTAAAGGGACATCCGTCGATCAATCGGCAGGAAGGTCGAGTTCTCATCACACACCAGCCGGCAGAATCCCTCCAAATCCCATAGTCCCATTACGTTATGACAATAATGTCAAATTTTTCTTTCTGATTCGAATATTAGCAAATGACAATTAATATTTTCCACTCTGGGTCAACTATTCGATACTGATGTATCTCCAGAATCTTTATTGATTGCTATTTCAGGTGATGTTCCTTCCTATAATTATATACGTGCCTTCCTTGGCATTTAATCAGGGTAAGTACTACCTTGATGAGGATATAAATTACGATAGAAGATCATGAATGTTTTTTGTTTCAGTTACTGGGATCAACATACATTTGATTGGCACAATAGTATCTGTTGTGTGCGTTTTTTATACTTTCATGGTGAGTTTTTTTGCTCTATCAACTAGTGTTTCCAACTTTTTTCATAATTATCAGGAGCAAACAGCTAGGGATACTGGACAATCAATGACAAATCAGGAAACATGATATCCTGTTTCTCTAGTTATATTTCAAAAATTTTGAACATTTAATATGCCTAGAAACCTTTTTTTTGCGATATATTAAAGAAAAATCAACTTTTGGTTTAACTGATAGATCTCATAACTAAGAGATCGAGGATGAACAGAGTTGTCCCAATTGTCAGCAGGAGCGATACAGTACTGTTTCGACCCACCAGGTCTCATCAGCCGCTCTCGATCTGATAACAACTGGGACAACTCTACGTATGGATACATATACAGTGTGTGTCGCGATCTCTTGATCCTACTTTAGAGCTTCGCCACTAGATGGCTACAACATGACTAGAATTTCATGTTATACCCTGCGTCTTCGAAATGGGTGATATACCCAGGTCCATCTATAGACTCTAGAGTGTGTATTATCTTTGCTTTGAAAATACGGAATAGAATATTGATTTTTTTCGGATTATATTTTTTTGGTGGATCATAAACTAGTTCTTATTTGTGAAATTGTTTCAGGGAGGACTGAAAGCTGTAGTTTGGACTGATTCGTGGCAGGTAATAGCCATGTTTATTTCAGTTGTCCTTGTTGTAATTTTGGGAAGTATCTCTGTCGGTGGACCGAGTGTTATCATAGATTTGACTAGCAAAGGAAATAGATTTGACTTTTTCAAGTGAGAGTTGACAACCATTTGAAGTCTCCGATGAAGTCCTTTATACCGACTTGTTACTATTTCAGTTCCAACCCAAGTATGTACGAAAGATACACAATCTTCAGCGTTATAATTGGCGGCTTCAGTTACTGGACGTGCTTCAATTCAGTCAACCAGACGATGGTTCAGAGATATCTTTCATTGCCAACCGAAAGACAATCAAAAATGTAAGTATCTTCTATCTCATCGAGAGCTGAGTGGCACGAATCAACTTGAAAATAGGTCTAGGAATTTTTCACAACATTATAAGAACCTATACCACTGGTCGCCAGCAACACTGTATAGTCGACAACACCTTCTTCAACCTTCCAGTAGGCGCACGCGGAGTATCACTCCGCACGAATATAAAACGTGAGTTTTCTCGAATATACTTTATTCCCTCATTCCGCCGTACTTATTACCTTCCTAAAATGACGGCTTCAGTACGAATAGAGTATTACTGATGTGCAATATTGCTTAGTTTTCGAATTTCATTGCGTAGTGCGGAGTCGTACTCCGCAGCGACCCTAGTCGTCTTAGTTATTTTGCATATTGCAGTTACATTTTGCATCTATTTTGAGAGAATTTGGCAAAAATTTCATTTCATTCGATGACACACTCAATTTTATTGTAGTTTATGTGAAAAATTCATGTGCTTATTAGAACCCGCATTTTTTATTTGCAAAGATTGACGATGAGTCATTGCTAGATTGAAACTGAAATATTTGAGTTTGTCTTCAAATTATAGTGTTTTTGTTCGAATTCTAGCTATAAAATCTTCGATAGTTGTCTGATGTTGATTTTAGGGTTTTGTTATTGAATGAATATATTTTTATTGCAATTTTGACATTTCGTAGAAATATTCATGTCCAAAGGCATACTGATGAAATCTTTGAATAAGTTTAATTTATCATGTTCAAATTACCCATATTCTCCATTGCGGAGTAAGACTCCGCAGCGACAAACTATGTCTTTTTGGAGGCGCGACTACTGGAAGGTGGAGTAGGTAGATAAAGAACCTGTTGCAGGGCAGGCTGCCTGTGTTCTAAAGACTCCCACGGGGCGAGGTACTATCTCCTCCAACAATGTGAGAATGGCAGTGAGGTCCAATATCGCTCCCGCGTGCTGGTACTAGTGTGATTGGGGGTAATCTGTCATCCATACATGACATGAAACGCGTGAAGAGAAGTGAGGTTCAATAACCTTAATTTTGTGCTACTTTCACACGTTCTCCATGACATTTTTGTTAGACGAAAAAAACAAAATGGTGGCCTCAAAATGGCGGACGAGTTTTGTAATTATGATCCGATTCGATTCAAAATTGGTATCTGGGGGTTTTCAAGGTCGGAGATTATGATTCTTTTTTCAAAATTTGTAAATTCAAGATGACTGATCCAATATGGCGGACGAGTTTTGTAATAGTCGAAATTGGTATCTGAAGAAGGTTTTCGAGGTCGGAGATTATGATTCTTTTGTCAAAATTGGTGAATTCAAGATTGCGGATCCAATATGGCGAACGAGTTTCAAAATTTGAATCTGGTGGTTTTCGGGGTCAAAAATTATGATGCATTCGTCAAAATTTGAAGATTCAAGATGGAAGATCCAATATGACGGATGAGTTCTGTAGTTATGATCCGATTGTAGTCAAAACTGATATCTGAGGATTTTAGGGGTTGGAGAATACGGTTTTTTTGTTAAAATTGGGAAATTCAAAATGGCCTATGCAATATGGAGGACGAGTTTTGTAATTATATGATCCGATTCTATTCAAAATTGGCATCTGAGATTTTTCGGGGTAGGAGATTATGATACTCTTGTCAAAATTATAAAATTTGATATGGCGTATAGAATATGGCGGTCGGGTTTTGTAATCATGATCCGATTCTATTAAAAATAAGTATCTGGGGGTTTTCGGGGTCGGAGATAATGATTCTATATTAGTTTATAAACTGAAGAAACACCCTTTCATAGATAGGCAAATTAAAAAGAAGTAGAAAATACAATAATAATAGTGTTTTAATAAATACACAACATAGAATATACTGATTACTGAGGTGCTAATATTTTCTATGTTGTGTATATATCAACACGCTTTTATTATTCAATTTTCTACTTCTATTTAGTTTGGCTATTCATAAAAGGATGTTTCTTTAGTTTTCCGAACTACTCTTTATTTGAAATTGATTTTCATGTGTCAACTTTTTTCAGATCTGTGCTTATCTTCACCATAGGTGTATCTGGATTCGTCTGGATCTGCTGCTATGCAGGAATTCTGGTTTATGCAACCTATTATGGTTGCGATCCTCTCTCCATGGGGCGAATACAGGCAGATGACCAAATCTTACCACTATTCGTGATGGAAACTGTAGGACATCTCAGAGGTGTCCCTGGACTCTTCATTGCTGGAGTTTTTGGCGCAGCGCTGAGGTTAGTAGAAAGTTGAAAGTGAGATATAGCCTACATCATAGCGATCAAGTTTTCATGACTGATTTTACTCTAGATCCCAGATCCCTGATCTTTTCATAGAGCCAATATCTCAGTTATGCTGCTTGGAAAAATTATTTGAGGAAATTGCACTTTTGTCATCCTCATATGACTTTCACCTTCTGTCAAACTAACTCTGAGAAGCCACCCCGAACTTCAATTATTCAAGTTACACCCTTCACATCTTTCTGTTGATTTGTGAAGTGCAATCAATTCTAACTTCAACGTTCAATGATGTATCATACTTGAAATTTTGACTAACGTTATACTACCAAAATCACAAAACTCGAAGAAGACAGTATCAGGTATAGGATGTATTTTGACTAATTGAATTTGGGGGTGGCATTTGAGGGGTAGTTTGACAGAAGTTGACTTTGACATATCGACTTCAAAGTCATAGGGGTTTGACAAAAGTTCTCCGAGCAGCATTACTGAGATATTTGCTGTATGAAAATATCTGATAGAGTTTCCAAAGACAATCTGAATTATCTCAATACTGATTTCTCTAATAGATTTGAAATTCTCTATCCTCGTTTTTCTTAATAAAAATATGAGCATTATTCCAATAAGTGTAGGGTGAATCAGATGAATCGCACCAAAATATCACTATACGTTTGAGTGTTTCACCATTAGAGAACTCAAATGAAGAATTCAATCGATAGTTAGTGACTCATTTGAAGAATAAATAGATAAATCATAAATATATCAAAATTTCAGGTAGCTTTGAATATTTCGGAAATGATCTTACGTTCGAGTGTTTCATCATTAGAGAACTCAAATGAAGAATTCAATCGATAGTTAGTGACTCATTTGAAGAATAAATAGATAAATCAGAAATATATCAAAATTTCAGTTAGCTTTGAATGTTTCAGGAATGATCTGCTCCCGTTCGCAGTTCCTTCTTGCTCTAGTGTACGAACATTCGCAAAGTGAATTTCAATTCAAAAAAATCAACGGTCATTGAGAAATTACAAAAAAACATTTTTTGATTCACAACTTCAACACTCTGCTTCCCGAAGAAAAAGCATCTGAAGACCTTGTCTCCCTGCAATAGTCGCTTCAGCACCAGAGTTAAAATTGCTTTCTCCGCTCTTATCTTATATATCTCTTAGAACTGCTCTCTATGTTACAGAATGAACACCAAACAGTATAGTTTATAATAGGCTTTATTTCAAAGGTTGATTCCCATTCCATAACCCCTATATTCTGTAACTGAATTCGATTTGATTTATTCATTTTATTGCTCTCTTTTCAGCTCTTTATCAGTTGTGCTCAATTCGACAGCTCAAGTGTTTCTGGAAGACTTCCTCAAGGGTTGCATGAAGATGACCTTATCTGAAAGAATCGCAACAATAGTTGTGAAAGCGGTGATTTTGGTACTTGGAATAATAGCTGTAGGATTTCTATACGTTGTCGAACATATGGGAGGAGTTCTAGCAGTGAGTTTATTCATTATACATAGGTATATGCAGCGTGCTAATAATGAAAACAACAACATAACGTAGTCTTACAGACCATCTGAAGTCAATGAATTTATCGTAAGCCTGTGGATGAACAAGATAAAGTTTCACTTCCCATGACTGTTTTATGAATTATCTGTACAATATTTCATTGCTCCCTACTTGGAGTCTCTGAAATATTCACGAGAAAAAATAAAACATATCTCCAGAGGTACACATTCAACAACGTGAATTTCTAGATCGAAGCATTCAGAACCTACACTGCGGCTGCATCTATAATTCTTGAATGTAATGACTCACCTTCTAATAGCTCATCACGCTTACAATGTCTGATTTTTTGAAATTTGTTTGTTTTTCAATAATTGTAAATGTTTATCCTTGGCATTACAGTGAAGAGTCAAAATCACATGAAATTTCACATGTTATTGTATCAGAGTGAAAGAAATCAAAATTATAAGAGTCATTTCATTCGTAGGAGGTTCTACTTTGCAAAAAATCAGAACTACATGGTCTGAAAACTACATAGGTAGGTGAATTCCTGATGGAATATATACAGTGTGTCCCAAATTCGATCCTCACCATTGGCATCTCAGTGAGATAGAGATACGGTTAAATCAGCAAAGTTGTAGCGAATTTAATGTTGAATCAGAATTTATCAAAAAATCTAGGCTAGCTTCAGTCATTCTTGAGTTATTTGAGAAAAAATTAAATCTTGTATTTTTGTTTTTCTCGAATATCTCGGAAACTATTGATTTTATGAGAAAATGACTTCAACATTCTCATAGCACTTTTTGGTGTTCGTTTCAATGGTTTTGTCAGTTTTCCATCAAAATGTCAAATTTTTGAGATATTACCTACAACTTCGGTTTTTCTTACAGACGCCATATTGAATTCTCACAGATTTGAAATCAGCATAAAATTTCCTTTCTGGTGATGTATCACAGTCACAGTTTTATCTAATAAGGAGTACATAAGGAGTACTGATTTCAAATTTTTGTTTGTATGTCCAGTAGGCTAAGCGCTGAACTCTCTATAAACCATAACGATTATGTGTTCTGGCACAATTTTCATAGTAGGCTTGGAGCCAAGTGACATTTCTGTAAACGTCAAGAAAAAATACAAGTTAATTATTTCGGGCCAAACAATGCCGTTCACAAAAACCAGTGACAGTACAAGGGTTAAGACCTGGTGATAATGAACGTCGTCTCGAGTTTTGTCACTGGTTCGTCAACCAGTGTGAAAGAATCGATATCGATATCTCGAAAATCAATTTGGTGCTAAATTTATTACTACTCATGGACCTGTTAGATGGCCTCCTAGGTCGCCTGATTGTACGCCTCTCGATTTTCACCTGTGGGGCTACGCCAAAAATAGAATTTATGTAGAGCCAATTCAAGATAGTGATGATCTACGAGAGAGTGATGGACACATTCCAGCACATCTGGAGTTCATCTGAGAAAAGCAGCGAATCATGTTCGCTCGCGAATATTAAAATGTATCGAGAACAATGGGGGCCATATCGAGCAGTTCAATAAATTTTTTTAGTATTTGTATTATCCACCTGTTAAGTTATTCAAGAACATAGAACACAGATTCCAAAATCTGAGGTAAAAGTCATGGTGGAGTGAAGTAGTAACTAATAACACAACATAATGAATTGTCGTGGAGATAACTTCAAGTATTATTTATTAGTTACAGAATTCATAGCCTACTGGACACAAAAAAAAATTGGAAATCAGTACCCCAAATAAAATGACACTGTGATTGTGATACATTACTAGGAATGAAATTTTATGCTGATTTCAAATCTGTTAAAATACAATATTGCGTCCATAAGTGATATCCTAAAAATTTGACATTTTGATGGAAAACTCACTAAACCATTGAAAAGAACACCAAAAAGTTCTATGAGAATTTTGAAATCATTTTTTCATAAAATCAATAGTTTCTGAGATATTCGAACAGATCAAAAATACAAGATTTCAGTTTTTCTCAAATAATTCAAGAATGACTAAAGCTAGCCCGGATTTCTCGATAGATTCTGATTCAACATTGAATTTGCTACAACTTTGCCAATTTAACCGTTTCTCTATCTCTCATAGTAACTGAGATCCCAATGTAGAGGATCGAATTTGGGACACACTGTATAAAGAAATGTTATTCCTTTATTAAAATCTGAGGGGTTGTTTGTTGGGGCGTAACACGATACGTCAAAATTTCTTTATTGAAATCGACGCGTTCCTTATAGGAAATCATGTATACTTTTCGTTTCAGATGGCATCTTCGTTATCTGCCATAGCAGCGAGTGTCTCATGCGGCATGTTCACTTTGGGGATGCTGATTCCTTGGGCGAACTCCTATGGTGCCATAGCTGGAGCCATATCGGGGGCAGTAATGTCTGGCTTGGTATCGTTCGGAGGACAGTTCGTGTCAGCTGCCAAACTTGTGGTGGCCCACAGGTTGCCCGTCTTCGTGAATGATTCTTGTTTCGAGAAATATGGCATTCCGAACGATACAACTGTTACTCCAGTTAGTTCCTATATTAATTACTATCATAGGGCGACTAGATCTTGTAAGATAACAACCAAAAAGTACGAAACATGCGGAACTTTTTGTGGCTCTAGGTTGAATGGTTTTGAATTGAACGTTAGATTTGTCTAAAAATTTAAATTGAAAAACACAATGATATAAATATACTAAAATATAAGCCAGAGAACGATCTTTAAATCAGATCAGACTAGTGATAAGCACAAAATGGAAGAAAGAAGCTTCGGAGAAGGGTATTTGTACTATAAAAAGAGTATGTACTTACGTCTGGTCACCCTAAATAATATTTTTCACATATACCGAGATATCTTTATCAAAATGGTCAGGATAAGTGAAATGAATAAAAAGCAAGTATCACAGCTTCGACCAACGAACCATGATGAGTGACTCAAACTAATCAAGATCGCATGATCCAGACAATAATATGGAAATTGATTACAAGTAGGTAGGTAGCTATAGTTTCCTTCATGGTCAGGTAAATATAGTTGGGGCTGGTTGTCAGGAATAATCTGCAGATATACACAGGAATGCACAAAAACGGCCAGTGCTGTGATTTCTGAATCATTCAAGATCAGAATTTAGTGATTCACACGAGACCAACGAAACGAGACTTTCATAAAGTCTCGTCTCGCCGATGAAATATGAAGTCTTGTCTCGAGTCTCGTCTCGCAGCTTCATCGAGTCTCGTCTTGACTCGCGTCTCTCGTACGAGAGTCTCGCAAATGTATCGCAATTTCGTCATGCATAATCTTGTTCCAGTCTTATACGGGATATTTACCTTTACCTACTTTTTAGGTATAAGGGAAGTATAGGGAGAGAAAATCAACAAAATTAACATTATTTATTCGAAAGTTATAATGATAAATATATATATAATAAAAAGTAACACGTATATTCTCTAGAAATAAACAAAACAAAAACTTTTTTCCAACATTAGGTATTTTATTACTTATTTGAGAAATAGAGGTATCTAAGAAAATAGTTATTTTTATTACTAGACAGAAAAGTAGTCAATCTACATTTGCTACCGTGTGCAACATGAAATTTTTTCTCCAAATGATATAAAACCAATTTTGTGTAATTTTGTTATTGAAAACTGCCTCATTTTGTGTTCACCCAATGTCAGTGTCAATTTTGATTACTAATTTCATTAAAATTTCTTGAAACGTTGCATAGCAACAAACTTGTTTTGCCTAGACAGTAAAAGTATACCTTTTCTGCCTGTTAAGCGGCAGGAAGAAGCCACTGTCCCTGCCGCTTGGAGAAAAAAACCTTTATCAGTCAGATCAGCCTTCACGATCGCAAATGTTTTTGTTTTTCACCCAGTCGTTAAGACATAACAAACATCGTGCAGATTCATTAGATGTTTTCTTATAGAATTCTTTCTAAATATGTTTTATTATGAATGAAATTGTCAAGTCTGCAGTCGGCACGCAGAAATATTTACCTGCGAGACTTTCGCACGAGACACGAGAAGTCTTGCACGAGACTCGAGATAAGAACAATAAAAGTCTCGTCTCGTCTTGTCCGTGTCTCGTCTCGAGTGTTGTCTCGAAAACGAGACGAGACCATGCGAGACTCTCGAAAACGAGACTCTCGCGGGCACCACTATCAGAATTTGAAATTTGGTGGGAAGCAAGCATACCAAATTGCTCATTGACAAAAGAAATTTGTTCTATCACTTCCAATTTCACCGGAGACGACCCAAACTTATGATTCTTAAATTGGACACCTTGTTTTTTGTTCCATAATCGGTTAGGGATTATCATGAGGCATTCAACGATAATTACCGAGCTTGATAGGGTTATTTCAAACAATTACGAAGATATTCGCTTTCCTATTTTCCATATGCTCAATGGGATCCCTGGTTTTGCTAAGTGATTGAAATCCGTGGATTCATGACAGTCAGCAGATGTTGAGGTTTGAGCTAACCTTAGGTACATCATGTGTACATCTCATACTGTTTTGAAACTTTTTGAAATAACTCCTCAATCTCTGCATACAAATTCTCATGGATGAAAATAAAACTGAAGTTTATAGGTATACAATCTCAGATTATCTAAAGATTTTGTGTGGTTGATGCGGACATGTTGTCAAATAAAATTGGTGCTAAAACTAATCAGTAAGAGAGCGTTTACAAAATTTTGATAATGTAATATTTCGTTCGAGGAAGTGATGCACTGTCACAGGATTAGATTCATTTTGTCTCACCTTCTTTGTTTTATCAAGGACTTCTCTCCATAGCAGCAATTTATTCAAGTACCCTGAGGAATTTGGCGATTTCGAGGGGGTCTGTTTGTGGGATTTCCTACACTACTAGCGAAAGGTGGAAACGTGGTTCACTACTATTTTCCCTTCATCTTGCCTGAATGTAGCATGTTTTCCACAAGAGCCTTCAATCAATCGATGAATTCAATTTTTGTCATAATCAGATGGAAAATTCAAAACTGAAGTTGGATTAAATTGACATGTCGTACCTACTTAAAGGGAACAGCGAGAGCTAGGAATCTATTATCCATGGAAACATTTCTACTAAACAACACAAGCAACTCTATCCACAATTCAAATTAACTCTTCTTTACCATGAACTCATCAACCGACCATTAGTGATGCTAACATATAGGTAGCACGTGTCGAGGTGTTGCAAATTAGGTGTGCTGATAGTGAAAACAGTGTATCTATTGGGAAGGAATAATGGTTGCTTGTAATTACTAAACGTCCAAATCATTTCAAATTGTTTGTTTTTTGGAAAGAGTAAAAAAATTCTCAGAACGAAGCATCAAAATCATAGACGAGTGGACTATTTTTTTTATTTCTTGAATATAATCATCACTCAAATACCTTCCAATTGAAAAAAAAAAGATTCTTTTTGAGTGTGAGTCTTATTTTACTGTCTTCTTTATTTTATTTTGTCAAATATATTTATGCATTCACTATGTTCCCTGCTATAAACAAATGTTGTTTCTTGGGAATAATAAAGTTGATTGATTGATATTTTTGAACAATATTCCAAACGGATAGAAATTTACTGCGAGTAAGAACTGACATCACGTTTTCGTAAGTAGAGGCAGACCATAGCACAGTTGCCATGTGTTGAAATACGATTGGGAACTCCAGAAATATCAATTCAAACATTCATAAATTCTCAATTATGTATTGCTTATAATACATTTGTATGAATAGTAATTATATTAATTCACACCAGAGAATATTTGGAGCAGTGAACGTGACAACACAGCGCCCTTTACTTGTGGGCGTGGTCTTGTCCCTTCTCAGCATTCAGCACAATGTTGCTAAAAGTCTCCAACATTCACATGATATTTTGTTATGGACTATAAAAAATATTTGGACATGCTGCTTGCTCGAAAAAGTCAATAATGAACTATCATATCATGGGTTCCTCCTTTTATGTTTTATTCAACGACAGGACTCTTAGATATTTTTTCATAACTCAATTATAATTGGTGACTTGACAACCTTGCTCCATGAGTGGGAATGGAAGATTATCTGACTAATAACGAAACAGCACAAAAGCTGACGTCACCATTTATTCGACGTATCGCCAAATGGTGGTCATGACCGTACGTTTGAAATGAGCTCCGAAATTCAATAATTTCGAACAACGCATACACTCATTATTTACATAGAAAAAGTGAGAGAAGTGTTGCAAAATTCAATTTAGGTCCTTAACGACACAGTGAGGTAATTGAATGCCAATAATTCAATATGTCCACTCGCCCATTATAGCCAGAGGTTAAGAATGATGTAGCAAAGCATATCAGACCGTCGCAGCTTTGTCAGGTGCACAAAAATCAGAGAATTCCATATATGCCTATTTCCCACTTTCCTCTCACCTTGAAATCTCCTTGGAAGTTCCTATTTTTCATATTCATCGAGATGAAGACCGTTATTGATATTTCAGATAATCTACCCCGATGAATCAGATATTTTTCCACTGTTCCGTCTCTCCTTCATGTGGATAACACCGATAGGTGTGATATCAGTTCTTCTGGTGGGAATGATAGTCAGTTTGCTCACGGGAAAAACCGATATGAGGAGTATGGACCCAGAGTTGATTTCTCCGGTTGCAAAATGGATGCTGCCGGCAGAAGCCCAAAGATACGCCGGATCCGCCATCAGGAAAGCGAGAAACAGGGAGATCTTGGAAAACGAGAATATGGTCCAGGTACAGATGATCACCATAAGGGTATGAATGGGGCCGAATAGACCCTTTTGTTTATATAGGGTTCGTTGAAATTCATATCATCATCAACACAAAAACGAATCAGTTCTTTGAATGAAAATAGTTCTGAATAGAATAGTAGGCTTCCGAAATTTGGATATCTTCGTGTAATACTGAATCTGTGAACAGAGTCGGGATGAAACTTGCTTCGATTTTGCTCCTTGAACAAGAAAAAAAACTGACTATTTCGAGTCTACATACAAAAAGGCGTCTATTTTCCTTTATATTTTCTAGTTATTCTTTCTGGACATATAATATATATGGAAAGAGGAGAGACTTGAATGCATTTTTTTTTCAGGAGATGTCCCCATCAGAAATGAGGAAGACAAGTTGATGAGAAGATTATGATATTGTTGTGGTTGTGTTTGTTATAGGTAGTTTGAATTGTTTGAACCCAGCAGTATTATTAGGCCCTCGATTAGGCCAAGAGAAATATTCTGATATTATTATTCATTATAGATTATCATTAATGGAATAAAATATAATAGTTTATGAGATGGGATGGAATTTATTAGAATTTCGAATCAGTGACTCAAATAAATATAATATACAGTGCTTTCCTTAATGTCCCTCGCTTTTATTTTTTGAACGTGTCGACTGAAAGAAATTAATACTATATTTTGGAGTGAAATTGGCAAATGAAAATTTCAAGATGGGTGTCATCAGAGAAAAAAATTAAATGGAGAGAGGGGTCTTGTGATACATACTTTCGAAGCTCCTGACGAATACTTCACAACCTCAATATGAAGTCAATACCTTCAATTACTACAAAATGGTGGAACATTTAATGATTGCCTGAATACATTGACGTTTACTTCATAATTTGAGGAAATAAGCTGAGTTCCTTCCAGGAGATGCTCGAAATGGTTGACTTGAACTTAGTGACATAAGAAAAGCCCATCCGATATTTTGCACCGAACACTTTCGAACACAGTGACGTCGATATTTCTATATAAATATATGTATTATTCTCTGTCGTATATCTGATATTGGAGCAGGTGCAGTTTCGCACACATTTTGCTTCAAATAGCCAGATGAAAAAACCTCTAGAAGTGTCAAATCTGGCGAGCGGGCTGGCCATTCCGTGGGACCTCGACGGCCAATCCAAAGACCGAAAAATGTATTATCCAAATGTCTCTAACTTGTCTGGAGTAATTTGGTGGTGCTCCATCTTGTTGGAATACAATAATATACCTATTGAATGTGTTTGTATTCAGGGAACTATTAAATGTTCCACCATTTTGTAGTAGGTGAAGATATTGACTTCATATTAAGGGGTTGTGAAGTGTCGAGAATATGTGTCACAAGACCCCCCTTTCCATTTAATTTTTTTCTCCAGATGGCGCCCGGTCGCCATCTTGAACTATTCATCTGCCAATCTTACTTCAAAATATAGTATTTATGCATCAATTCCATTATCCCAAGTTTTGATTTTATCAGTTTCAGTTAAAAGGGAGGGGGGACATTATAAAAAAAAAACTGTATATATTTTCAATTTACCCCAATTGAATGAACGTTCGTATGATATTAGGTCTCTGCCTACAAGAAAATTGTATAATTGCACACAGGAGATGTGAAATAATTTACAGCATATGACCAAACCGTGTGGGGAAATGTTTTTTTGATGCACGGTTATATCGTTGGAATGTTTACAATAGAAGGGTTTTTTGATTTCGCGTGTTCTCTTCATAAAGAATCTGAATAATCATAAATATCCAATGATCGTCATCGATGCCATCGAGCATTTAAAACAGAATTATGTATACAGGGTGTCCGGAAAGGTCATGTCATAAATGATAGGGCTGATAGAGTAAGCCAAAATAATGTTAGTACTTTGAACAAAAAATTTATAACGCATTTCGTTACGGAGTTATTGACCTGGAAAGTGCTAATAGGAAAAAATTCAACTTTTAAACGGTTGCCATGGTATCGATGATATTTGGGCAACTAAATTAATCCCCTTCTGAAATGTAAACGGCTCTTCAGTGATTTCATCGAAAATTTGACTTTTTCAGAGTAAATTGAGAGATGCCTCGTAAATAAATAAGACAACTTGGGGCTAGAAAATACGTGGATTATACTGATGCAAACCTACAATTTATGTTGTTAGTTCTCTAGTCATTATTAATGTTCAATATTTCTCTATGTAAATAAAAACCTCATTTTTCTTTTTTTTATTAGGAAATTAAAGGTCAATTTGTTATGTAACTTTACCTTTACCTTTTCTCAGCCTATTTTTCATTTTTTTCCAGACATTTTCCAAAATATATATATTATAAGGTCAACTTTACTTTGTCTCAACTTGCCCTGGTGAAGTATAACTTGTAATTTTCGACTTTTCTCATGCCTGCCTCAAGTAAATGTCACAGAAGAACAGAAACAACACTTTCAATATCCTTCAATGACCTCTTTTGGAATGCATATCACTTCTAAAAGAACATCCCGATGACCATTCTGAGAAAATTCCATCAGAATATTCTAAAATAAGTACGAACGTTCTGAACGTTGTTGAAATATTCGTAAAATATTCTGTATTTTTTAACATACACCGACCTACATGTCGTTGCTTCTGTTCTGAGGAAAATAGGAGGTCGATGGGTATTGTACCTTCGGTCCTAAACGCTGCTCATGTTCTCTTTTAGAAAGTGTAGACAACCTTGAGTGTTGAAAATTCGGGAAAAATCTAATAATAGTTGAAGTGAGGAGTCGAAAAAATATAAAATATGCTGACATTCATAATTTACATGAATAAATTAATTGTGTGCAAAATGGTGGAGTTATTGAAAAAAATGCCGAGAACCATTATGAAACTGGAAATTGAATGTATATTGAATATCTGCAATAAACCTATCAAGGAAAGCTATGTTATGTCTAGAAATGGCATCCACATGTAACATAAGAACAAAAACAATACTTTCAATATCCTTTGAAGACCTCAGCATATTTCGTTCCTCACGCCAACATTTTCAAAACATCCCAGGGATAGCGACAGATAGGGTTAGTACATACTTCTAGATGATGCAATGAACTGCTTATTTGATATATAATTTTTTATGAATTGTATTCTGTATTCCGTTTGAAAACTTAATTATATCCGCCGTTAACTTCGCTTTTCGTTATACGCCCGCTTATTATTGAATACTTTACGTACTGGTACTAATTAGGAGTTCGGTAAATATGATAACTTCCTTGACGAACTGTAATTGTGTTTGTGCGCTTGATTAATGTATTGATTACATAACCCTTCAAATTTGTTCGGAACGTCTTCTTCATTAAACAAGCTTTGCTTTAATTAACTATTTCATTGGGATATCCCTTTTCGGTTGATACCAGATATCGAGAATAATGAAATATAGCAGCTGGTTTTCAGATAAACGATGAGTTTATATACAGGCTGATGATATATTAAAACCTCTGATTAGACGAATGAGATTTCGTCGATGTAACATTATACAGGGTGATTTTTGAAGATGACTCATTTTTTGAATAGTATTAGAACGTCCGCTGAGAATTATAATAGTTTCAATCCTCCTTCTTTGACAGAAATGAGTTAGAATATACAGCAGCAATCGCTTCATATTCAATATACAGGGTGTTTCACAGGTAAAGGGAAATATCTCAATGGTACATAGGGGTCACCAAGGTGGTTCTGAAAATACGATATTTGATAGGTCTTATAATCTTCATAACGGAGATACAGGGCGATTTATAGATTTCGAAAGATTATTCATTCGTTTGTAAGTATAGAATCACCCAGTATATTTTTCTCCAATTTGGTATGGAGCTTATACTTAAGACGTTGAATTCATTCACCTATCGGGCGGAGTGAAAGTCCAGGTTCGACTTCAGGAAAAATTCACATTTATTCGAAATATTAAAATAACACACTGTATGTAATAATCAACAGAATCCATCAAAGGAATCATGAAGATGAGGAAGAACTGAATTGGATTCAATGCTTTTTATTTTCTTGCCACCAATTCTCATCGTAATAATTATAAACAGAAAGTTGAAAATATGTCAATTTGAAGAATATTAAAATTATGAAACCAGTTCTAATTATGATTATTTGATATATTTTAGTTAAATGATCGCTCGAAATAACTTACTACCAAGTATCACAGTCTTTAAAACGGAGATACAGGGTGAATTATCAGTTTCGAATAATTATTCACACGTCCATAAGTATTGAACTACCCAGTAATATTTTCTCAAAATTTGGTATGGACCTCACTTGGAAAGTTGGATTCATTGACCTATCAGGCAGAATGGAAATACAGGTTCAGCTTCAGGAAAAGTCTAACAGTATTTATAACGGAGATACAGGGTGAATTATCAAATTATAATTATTTGATATCTTCTAGTTCGATATTCGATAGAAGTATCAAATCCAATTCAGTTTTGTCTTTCGTTCACGATTATTCTTTTGATGAACTTTGTTTATTATTAAATACAGTGTGTTTTTTTTATATCTCGAATGAATGTAAATTTTTCTTGAATCCAACGTCCCAAGTGAGCTCCGTACCAAATTTGAGAAAATATTACTGGGTAGTTTAATACTTATGGACGAGTAAATGATTATTCGATACCGATAATTCACCCTGTATCTCTAGCTGTTATAAAGACTGTGAGGATGTTTCTGAAGCTGAACCTGTATTTCCATTCCGCCTGATAGGTCAATGAATCTAAAGTCCTAAGTAAGCTCCATACCAAATTTGAGAAAATATCACAGGGTAGTTCAATACTTATGGACGAGAAAATAATTATTCAAAACCGATAATTCACCCTGTATCTTTGTTATAAAAACAGTGAGACTTAGTAAGCTCTTTCGAACGATCATTCAACTAAAATATATCAAATGATCATAATTAAAACTGGTTTTATAATTTTAATTTTCTTCAAATTGGCATAGTTTTAACTTTCTGTTTATGATGAAATGAATGAAATCAATCTGTGTACTAGAAAATTTAAACTTGCCATTTTGTGCTGAAAACATTGATTGGAGTCATTAGGTATGTATCTTAGATACATTTCCTCTGAGCAAAGAAAGATTCAATGCTGAAAGAAGTGTTGTTTATAAAGTGGCTGGCGTCAATGGGTATGCTATCAAAATAGTAGATAAATTTAATACGTAGACCTAAATTTAAGTTAACACTTCGATATTCTACGACTTTTCAAGTGGATAAAAAGAACTCTAGAAGAATCCCAATCCCGTTTAATCCCAAGTATACGAAGGGACTTAATAAGGTTTTCAAAGACTTAGGTTTTGAAAGCGTCAGTCTGGGTCAAAATTAGGCAATTTATTAGGCAATCGAAAAGATAAAGTGGACACACTTGAAAAGTCGGGAATATACGAAATAAGTTGTACTGATTGTGATGAAACATATATAGGCCAAACCAGGCGACTCATAAAAACAAGGTTCAAAGAACACATAGTTCATTTGAAATATGGCAGGTTAGATAAATCTTGTGTAGCCGAACA